CCGTGTGCCGCGGGCCGGGGGCGGGCTGGCAGCGGCCCTGTACCGGGGCCTTTCTGGGGAGCGGAGGAGAGAGGCTGCGATTCCTGCCCCAACCTCAGAATCGGGAAGAAAAAGCCTTTCCTTTCAGCAGAGACTCATGCATCAAACTTCAATTTTCCGGACGATTGAATTAGTGATTTTTTTTCTCCTGATCTAAAATACACTTAAGTCTTTGGGATTAATTACCACGTTCTGGTCCCTCAGACTGTAGTATTAGTTATCGTTGCCATATTCGACATCAGCCCTGACACCTCATAAAATAAGGAACTGAATTTCACTGACTCAACCTGCTTCAGCCCTGTTGGATAATTCAGGAGGGGGCTTTATTCTCCGTCTGAGAGCCCTGTGTGAAGTGAACAAGATCAAATATGGATCTTCCCCACCCCTCTCAGGAAAAAGAAAAAGCGTACCCCCTCCCCACCCAAACACTAAAGGGTGGCATTTCCAAGCAGACAACAGCCCCCACCGCCCCCTCACCTCCCTCTCCCTTCGCACCTCAGAACGAAATCTAAGACAGTGTCAAGTTTGGGGATGAAGGATGGGTATGGGGTGGGAGGGGGGGTGGTCCGGCTCCTACGTTTGAGAAATGGGGTTTCTGTCAGGAGGCAACAGCGGTGGCTGAGATGCGGGCTGGACTGAGTCGCCATGCCCGAGGCAGGAGCGCAGCCCCTGCCCGCACCTGCCCCCGACCAGCGCCCACGCCCACCCCGACGGAGGTAACACAGGACACCGCAGCCCCCGACGGGGTGGATGGTGGGGGGCCACCGGGCCTCCAGACCACTTCGCAAAGCCCTTCCATGCTTCCCCGCACCCCTTTGCCAAATTGAGGGGTTTCACCTCCGCGGGCCAGGACCTGCGGGATTTAAGCGGTTTGACGCTTTTTTTTTTTCCTGTCGGGAATGATTTGGGGAAGGCTGGTCTCTCCCCCTACCCCATGTCTACCCTTCCACGGAGGGAATCGCGGTGAGCCGGTCCCTAGAGCACGGAGCACCGGGCTGGGAGCTCTGAATGTTTGCCCAGGGGTGGGAAAACGGGACCATTTTGCACCCCTCTGTAAATCCACGCAGGAAATACTGGGGGCACGGTGAAGGCCCGCTGTCCCGGGTGTCCCCAGTCAGTAAGTCCCGAGGGTCTCGGCCCAGCTCCTCACTTCTCCGGGGCAGCGCTGGCCAGGGAGCGGAGCGGCCGGAGGCGGCCAGGTCTGCGGGGCAGATCTGGAGATCCCTAATTTGGGGTAATCTGGGGGTCTGGGTCGCGCAGGAGGGGTTCTGTGCCGCGATCACGGCAGCAGCCCTACGAGCTGGCCGGGAAGGGCTGCGACTGGGTCAGCCCAGAGGGCACGATTCACCGCTGTCACCGCGTCCCTACTGCTGGTGCGGGGAAAAAAACCCGCAGCAAAACCAAATAAACAAACAAACCATTTCCCCCTGCAACTCCCCCCAAATCAAACACCAAAAAAACCAAGCCCCCCAACAACAACATAAAAACAAATCACCGCTCCCCCCAAAAAAAAACAAACCAAAAAATCTCCCCAGAAAAATAAAACTAAGGAAAAAAAAAAAAGCCGTGTTGTATCTAAAATTTGAGGAAGAGGAAACCCCGAGAGATATGTCTGCTCAGGTAGGTGCTCTCAGGGAACGGCGCGTTCCAAACTGGATGAAAAACGAGGGGTACAAGCCAGCGATTCATTTTAAGCTAAAAAAAGAAAAAAAAAAAGAAGAAGAAGAAAGCTTTGGTTTGTCAATATGCAGCTTAAATAACCAAAATCCCAGCTATTTTGAAATGGGGGGCGAGCCAAATTAACAGGCTGCAAATCTTCAGGAGGAGGCTTTATTTACTATCCCGCCCCAGCCACGTGTGGTAAACTTCTGCGGGTGCAAGGCGGCCCTGCATCTCTTCTCTTTGCGCTCAGAAGTCAATAGATCAGAAACCCAAATTAACTCCCAGTCTATTTTCCATACACCCAGCCACCCTTTTTTTTTTTTTTTATTTCTTGCTTATATTGAATTGTAGTGTTTGCAGCCTCATTAAATCCATTCCAAGACAAAAGAATAAAAGACTGGGGGGAGGGAGGGGACAGGAGAGGAGGGGGAACAGGAGAGGGAATGGGGAAAAAAAACAGATAAAGAAAACAAATAAAGCCCTTTAACTAGATCTTCACATAAATGTCACAGTTTCTCAGCATTTACGATTTGGCTGTTTAGCATAAAAACACTTAAGGACAAGATTGAAGGCTTTCCGAGAGATCTGGACAGAAGTCAAAGCTATCATTCGGAGGTAAAAAAAAAAAAAAGAAAAAGAAAAAAGAGGGGATGTCGGAGTGGGGGTGGGAGGTGGCGGAAAACAAGTGCTCTTCCAAATAATACTAAAGAAAAGTGAATTTCATTGTAATTCATAGGCTTGTTCCAAATACCAAGAGAGAAAGAGAGAAGAATAGAAGAGCACAGATGCCCCGACGAAGGGAGAACAGCTCTGCTCCCATTGTTGTGGAGTTAAACAGTGGAAGGGAGGGTTAACCTAATCCATCAAATTGTCTGGAAATTGTGAAGAAAATTCAAAAACCATATGGTCTCCAAGCGCTCTCCTTCTCTCTGCTGCGGAGGGGCACGCTTGTTTCAGCATGGCGAACCGCAGGAGGCTGTATATGCTCCATTGTCGCTTGTCACTTCAGAGAAGAGGGCTCATTTGTCCCCAGTTTTCATGCTTTACGCTAAAAATTACAACCCCATCCATTCTCAAAGAGGAGAAAGATTTATTTAGCCTCGGAGAAACTGGACCAAAAAAAAAAATCCAACCGACAAACCAACCCTGCCTTATCTGGACACTTCGCCGAGCTCTGCCACTGTACACCAGATTTGCCTTTCTCACATAAATTTTGCAAAGAATAGGGAGAAACACACGTTGCTCGACTCCAAAGGCAGATCACGCTGCCAAGAGAGAACACATTCACCAGAGCCTTAATTTTGGCCGAAAAAAATAAAGGAAAAAGAGACAAGGGAGAAAATTTTTAAAAAAAGAAAAGAAAAGGAAAGAAAAGAAAAAGAAAAGAAAAAGAAAAAAAGAAAAGAAAAAGAAAAAGAAAAAGAAAAAAGAAAAGA